TCGACAACGTGCCCCTAGCGACTCGGTCCTTCCACACCTCATACTCTAAACCAAGTTTCACCCAAGCGGGCGTCGCCCTTACCCGTGGACCGTACTACCTTCTTTTTCCTGGTCCCCCTAGCCTTTTCCTTGATGGGTGCCACGACTCCCCCATCCGAAGTCTTGCTGGGCCCATCGTGCTCTGTCTCCTCCCCAAGGTCTGGGAAGTCGTCAATTTTTGTCGCTTGACCATCGTGGTCGACGGACATTAGTTGACCTTTCTTCTTCCAGTCCTGGGGTAGTCTCTTCTTCCTACCATCTCCCTGACTCTGATGCACGGACCCCAATTTTGCCTCTATATCTAAGACCTTCTTGCTGAAGGAGGCAAAGTTGTGTTGCTTTATGTAGGCCTCGTCTACCAGCTTTGTCCTAACCTCTGAAGGTAGACATCTAAGGTAATCCGTGAGGAGTACCTGATGGTCATAGCACACACCAGGTACCACGAGCAAACATTTTACGGTATCCGTGAGCTCTCTTACATTCTTGTACCTTTTGGCACAAAGACTGTTGATCGCATTTGTGGCCTTTTGGGCCCCTTGCAAGTCATGCCACCTATCATACACGGACCGTACGAACTCTTCCAATGTCTGGGCCTGGGCCCAGGCATCGAAGTTCTGACCGTAGCCCTGCTGCTGCACTAGGCCATTCAACCAGCGAGCTGCTGACCCCTCTAGAAAGGAGGCAGCCACTACAACTTCTTGCTCCGACCCGGTAAGCTTGTGCCTCACATAAGTAGGCACCGTCCTTACCCAGGTATCCAAATCCTCATCCTTCTTCCTGTTGCCGGAGAAGGGCTTAGGACTCAGCAGGGGTATTTTGGGCATCCACTGCATAGGTTGCACTGACCCAGGGGATTACTGCAGTGGCTGCATAGCCACCGAAACAGGTTGTTGCACACTAACTTGAGCCTGGCTTGACAGTGGGACTGTAGTAACCACTGTCGTCGATGGTATGACAGAGACTCTAAGGACCGGACCACTAGTCGCCACATAACCACCTGGAGGGAGAATGAAGGCCCTACTGGCGACGGCGTCACTGATGGACCCGCAACCAAAGGGGGAGCTACAGCAAACTGAGGCTGCCTTATCACTGGACGAGGAGCCTGTAGTGCAACCAGAATTCGTTTCTGGCCAGCCACTAGTTCAGCCAACACCTCCTGCTGAACAACCTGCGTCTCCGCCACACACAGGAGCGAGTTACGCAGCGCTCGCATCGCAGGGTCAAGTGTTGACTCATCTAATGCTTCTAATCTGCTTAGCTCCTGCAATCTACTACCTAGTCTAGCTTTTCTCATAATTGCTCTTATTCTTCTCTCTGCCGCCTCATCCAATTGTCGTTGTAGCTCATCCTGAAGTTTTTCTGCTTGGAGGATCTCATAATCCTCCGGCGTGAGTTGAACCTGCTGGCTGACTTGCAAGCCAGCACTCTGGCTAATGGAAGCCTGAGAACCACTCTGACTGACTCCTGACGAAGTGGCCTGTGAAGAGGCCTGCGACACGGTAGAGGAAGTAGCCATGGTCGTACCGGTGCTAGCTGTAATCCTAGACCTGGCACTGGCCTCAACCACCCTCGATCTTCTTGTCATTGTTCTCTCTCTTGCCTCTCTCCGCAGTCTCCTCTCATCTCCTGGACCTAACTCTAGGAAAGTCAAAGGTCGACTGGGAGGAGTTCTACGAGTAGTCTTACGATCGTCCACTAACAACTCCTCCTCACTAGTGCTTGCATCACTCATGAGCTACAGTGTGTGTGATCTAAACTAGAATCCACACTGAATCGTACCTCAGCATGACACAACCGATTATGATACACAACTAACTTCGGTCGGCCTGGACAAAAACAGTTAGGTGGTTAGGTGTCACCCAGTGTCAGATCCTACAGGGAATATTAAATCTATTTTTAGATTACTCTAATACAGATTGCAATGCAGCAAAGAATATACTATTCTATCTGTAGCTGTCTGTCAATTGTTAGTCAAGTCCGTAACAACTAAATAATCAAAAAATAAAACTAATGCTCCCTGCTGAGATGTATGCTGGATGGCAGTTTATCTAATTAATGCCACCACGAACAGTTACCGGAATCCAACCCTTTCCCTGTATCCCTCTTGAGTAGTCACTTTGTGTCGACGTTCCTAGGCATCTGGTTGAGCAGTGTGTCTAAAGGTGTGCAATTCGCCCCATCCCTGTGCCCCAAGTCAACGCCGAACCTGCCAGCACCTGCTCATTATTTATCCTCGCATGCAACGAGCCTTACACCCGGTTTAATCTGGCTGATCAGGAGGCATTTAAGGAGATCCCCCGTAACTCCTCAGGAATTATTTAACGTCGCAGACAGGACGACGATCACAGCCAGAATCAACACGGAGTCCCCACCAGAAATATTTAGAGACGGTCTGGTAAACGTCTTTTCAAAGGGTTGGCATGCCCTGCATGACCTCTATTGCGCAGCAACGGATCCAAGGACTTGCGGCAAAGCATGCGTGTACTAGTCCCAGCGGGTTGGCATGGTGACCGTGACCCGAGTGCTTCGTCCAAGGCCCTTCAAAGGCATCACCCGTCTCCCACCAGCTTGCTGCCCAGGAAGACTGTCGACTCTCAAGGTTGAGCGCTCGCGACACCTCACATTGAGAGGACTCTCAAGACAGAATTCACTTCGTCACGGTAAGAAGCAATGAAGAGGGTAGATAAGGAAAGAAGCAACGTACCTCATAATGCTGCCCGCAACCACATATTTCTCACCGGCAACCTGATGTGCATTTATGATGACCGGTCTTTGCCTCGGCACAACCAACAGCAGAATGCAGTTCCACCTCGGCTTAAATGCCACATCAGTGAGCTCTCATCATCCAGCGCACACCCCGAATGTCACCACATAGCTTCCTGCCGTGCCCACACGACCCTGGGTCGCCTTACACCCAATTGCCCAAGCCTTATCACTGCCCCAAACCTCATGCGAAGCACCGAACAGCTATTGCGAAGAACCAATGAGCGCAGTTCGAACCAGCTCTGATACCAAATTGCAAGGAAAATGAACAGAAGTGATATGACAATATTCAGATGGCACAATCACATTGAAAGCCAAATCATATCACAGTGTTCAGAAAGCAGCATTGCACCAATATAACACCAATGGAGAATCGTAGCACTGAAAGTCAATGTCAATGAGAGCTTGCTCTCGCCACCACCAACATAAGTATCCAGTCTCTATCTCCCTACTTGGCGCTCGGCGCCCAGCCTACTCCCTAACACAGCTACTACTAGCCTACTAATTGACAATGCAACTGTTGACGTCAGCAGCCTCCGAAGTACTTGAAGATGTCGCCCATGCAGACCATCGCCAATGCCAGGTATGTGCCCTCACATCATCATCATCATCATCCTTCTCTCTCTCTCTCTCTCCCTTGTCTCTCTCCCACTTCTTCCCTTTGTACACCCGAAGACCACCCCTGCGCCTCACTGTACATCCAAGCCCGCCAGCTATGGAGGCTGGACTATGGCACTGCCCTCAGCAGCGCCCTGCTCTCTGCACAACTGCACGTGCTTGCACCTCGCCGCTCAGCCCTAGCAGCAGCCCACGAGCTTCAGCTCCAACAGCGCTGCCGCCAGCATGCGAGTGCCCGAATGCCTGGCCAGGCAGCGAGCTCTTTCCTATATGGAAAGAGCTGGCCTGCCTTCGTAGCCTGGCTGGCCTGGGCCTGGGCCCAGAAGCTTCCGGTAGGCCCCAGGATGCTGAGCCTCTGGTGCAGCTACTGGGCCTCATTCGGTTGGGCCTCCCAACTGTCTGTGTGTGAGGCTGCGAATCTCGTCCAGGGCCTGTGCGTTCGGAAGAGAAAGAGAAAATCACACAAAAATGGATATAACTTAAGAAGAAGAAGACGTGAGTTTTACTATCATGGCGACATCAACTTCTCCCCTACATGCCTCGACATCAAACCGCCGAGGATCTCAACCCTTCCACTCATTCGCCACTCTGGACCTGGAAGAGCCTGGAAGGCCGTGGAATTTCCTTGCTTCTCGGCCTGTGTTTCCTCAACCAACTGGCGCGACGAAACTGCCTGGATCCCAAATACGAATTTGACAGCTTAGGGCCTCTCGGGATTTGTTAGGCCCGCCTTCACTTAGGGCGGGCACATTTGCACCAGGGGCCCCTTAGGCCTGCCAAGGACCCAGATCCTCGCACAAATTTAAATATTCGTTAATTAAATATTTAACTTTTGCCCAAAATTAATTTTTGCCAATTTAAATATTCTTTAATTAAATATTTTTGGCATTTTTATCAAAATTAAAATTTATTTAATTAACTCGTATTTCCTGATTAAATTTTATTTAATTAAATAATTAAATATTTAATTAATTTTTTGTTTTTTATATATTTAATTAATTAATATTTAAATTAATTTAATTAAATTAATTTTTCAAAATTCAATTTTTTTCGTGGGGGGGGGAATTTGTTTTTCTTGATTAGTGTCACGTTCGAGGTCAGGGTAGGAAGGGACTGTCGTGCATTGGTTGCCCCCCTCCCTTCTTCCCACCCCTGTTTTGTTTTCTCTCTCCTCCTCTCGGTACTGCGGACTGCAGTCCCCGGCCACGTCAGCATTGTGCCACATCAGCAGCGTGTCACCGAAGCCGATTGCCACATCCGCATTGTGCCACCTCAGCGTGCCACGACAGCAGATTGCCAAATCAGCAGCGGTCATCTCAGCCATGCCACATCAGCAGGGTGCCACCTCAGCAGTGACACGTCAGCAGCAGACGAGGGCCGCCGCGGATCTAAGGAAACCAAGCCCGAACAGGGACCTAAGACACCTCGGATCCCGTGCAGACGACGCACGACCATGGCCGCCACCGCTGACGCAAATTCACAAGCCAGCTCCGCGAGGCCAGCCACTCCCCCTATGCCAGTTCAGCAGGCAGATGAAACGCTACTAGCGTTTCCTGAACGTCTCCAGCTATACTTGGAGACTACAGCAGTTGAACTTCGCAAATGGAACAGGAGGAAGCCGCCCGCCAGCAGGAAATCCAACACCAGCTGGCAGAGGCAGAGGCAGCGAGTCAGCAGGCCGTAGCAGAAGCTGCAGCAGCCGCACGGTTACAGCAGCAGCAGACGGAGGCAAGTCAGAACCAAGTTCGTTAGCAAGCTACAATGGAGCTCGCCAATGTCGAAGCCAAGTACCGGAGGGTACTTCGACAGCAGCACTTTCAAGCAAACGAAGAACAAGAGGAGCCGACCGAGGAAGAGAGAAGCAAGGAGGAAATAGCAGTACTAATGGAAAACATGTTGTATACGTGCAATTGGCAGCAACGCGAGCTGCTGGCCATGCGGCAGATCTTCATCCGCTACGAAGCAAGTTTCCGGACGCAGGAACAGAAGATCACCGCCTTGCAGAACGCGAACAGTCAGCAGCAGGCCATCAACGACCAGCTACAGACCTCTGTCAGCTCCAGATTGGCGCGATTGTCTGCAATTGAGTCAATGGGCAGTGCAACGGTAGACTGCAGCCCAACTTTGTCCGCTCAAGCCAAGCAACTCGAGGAGCGGATCAACCACATGGTAGCATCCCTTGGCGACATCAGCAAGTTTGTTGGAGCATCGACAGTCAGCAATCAGCTGCAGACGCTCGGCGACCTCGTTCAACAACGATCGGCCGTCGTCGCCAAGGAATGGAAGATGTCGAATTTCAAGATTGAGAAGTTCAACGATTACCACAAGACTGATCCGCGACAGTGGTGGATGGCACACAATGCGGAGGCAGACGTACATCACGTCCCACCCGAACAGCGGCTTGACGCACTCTACCTCCAACTCATTGCAGGGGCGCAGGCTTTCATGACTCACATGGTCGTTACGTTGGAGTGCACCATCGCCACCCTCCACACCAAGATCATGTGGGAGGAGTTCGAGAAGAAGTGGAAGACCCGGTTTATGGTCAACAACGACAAACGTCACGCCTTGAACAAGATCTTCCGCATATTCCAAGGCCAGCAAACATCGCGGGAATGGCTGACGGAGTGGCAAAGACTCGTCGCCACACCGCAGTTGAACCTGCCGTTCGACTCAATCCGGGTCGAGTTCTTCGCCCGGTCTTGCGACGCTTTGACAGCTGCTCTTGGCAACGAAATCCAGTATGAGACCTTTGATGCAATGATCTCAAAGGCAAGGGAGTTCATACAAGGTAACCGGTGTGCGCCCAATGAGACCCGCCAACAGCCCGGTTACGTGGAGAAAGGCAAAGGTCAGTGGACGCCACAAGTAGCAGCGATCCAATAAGGATCTAGTGAGGACCACACAGCCGCGTCTACATCAAGTGACGGAGATGTGGCGGCAGCAATACCACCGCAACTCTCAAGACCCCGAGGGGGAAAACATAAGGCGAAACCAGCGTCGGCGGATGGAGCACGACAATCACCATGGACGAAATTCGATATCACCGAAGACATGTTCAAGCTGAGGCAGAAATGGGGATGCTGTTTATGGTGCAGCCGCACCAAACACATCACTAGCGCATGCCTCGACAAGGACAAGGAAAATGTCAAGCGTCCAAGCTTGGGAAACTGAGCACCGCGGGAAGTGCAGCGACATCACTTCCCAATCCGCTGGACTCGGCTGCCTTGCTAGCAGTCTCTCCCACGTTCGGGGATGACGCGGTAGTCGCGAGTTCTCGGATTGACTTCGAGAACTATGCTGTTGAGCTGGTCCCACCGTTGAACCAGCCACTCCACGTGCAAGATTCAAGCACATGTGCGGTGTTTACGCCGTCGGCCAACGAACCGGTCGCTTTGCCAACCCTTCTATCGGAGGATCCGTCAACTTGGGCGAGTCTTGAGGAACTCGACCCGTTGCCGGTTGAGGACTTCCAATGGTTGCCTGTTCCCTCCACCGGTTCTTTGCCAACACCACATTGCAATGCCTTGATGGCACATTTGTGAGAATACTTGCACGCTGCAGTACCACCTCCGTCAACAGACGGCAGAGTAGCGGTTGTTGACCTCTGGAGCTATCTTGCGAAGATCGACCATGAGCACGCAATGCAACGGTACGTCGACATCGACGCACCACTCCTCTACATCCGCATTCAGATCGGAAAGGCGACCTGCAGTGCCTTGATCGATTGTGGAGCGTCTGGCAACTACATCAGCCAAGACTTCATGGCGCGCGTCGGGCTTGGTTTGCTCGTTCGAAGGAAAAGTCAGCCTACACACGTCCCGTTGACCGATGGTCATACGCAAAAGTCAATCGACCGCTGCGTTGACTCCGTGCCCGTGTACTTTGCCCCGCTAGCATGCGAGGCCGTGTTGTTCGACATATTGCACACTAAGTTCGACATGATCCTAGGTATGTAGTGGTTGCAAAGCGAAGATCATTCGGTGAACTTTTATCGACGCACCGTTCACGTTCGTGATCGGCGTGGCAAACTAGTCCCGTGTACGGTGCCGCTCCCTCATCCTTCGATTGGTTGTCACGTGGTCTCCGCGGCGAGCATTCGCCGACCCATCCGGCAGAATGACATCGAGGAGATGGGCATGTGTTTTCTTCACGCCCTCCCACCCGGTGATCTGCCCAAGATGGACACATCGGACCCACGCATCATTGCGCTTTTGGACAGCTATGAGGATGTCTTCCAAGCTCCAGCCGGAGTAGTACCGGATCGGCCCATACGCCATGGGATCACTCTCGAGGACGGCGCCGTACCTCTGCGTGGATGTATGTACCGCATGAGCGAAGAGGAGCTTCAAGTGCTTCGGGCACAACTAGACGACCTCTTGGCCAAGCGCTGGATTCGCCCTAGCTGTTCGCCATACGGTTCTCCCGTTCTCTTCGTCCGGAAGAAGAACAAGGACCTTCGTTTGTGTATCGACTATCGGAAACTTAACGCGCAAACGATCAAGAACGCCGGCCCTCTCCCTCGGATCGATGATCTTCTCGAGCGACTAGGCGGCGCCAAGTACTTCTCGAAGCTCGACCTCAAGTCCGAATATCACCAGATCGAGATCCAGCCAAGAGATCGGTACAAGACTGCATTCAAGACGCGGTATGGGCACTTTGAGTGGATCGTCATAACTTTCGGTCTCACCAATACCCCGGCTACTTTCCAAGTGGCTATGACGACGGAATTCCGCGACCTGCTCGACCGCACCGTACTTATTTACCTTGATGATATCTTGGTTTATAGTCGGCCGCTAGACGAGCACCTCGAGCACCTTCGCGTCGTTTTGGAGCGGCTCCGTATCTCCAAGTACAAGGCAAACCCGACAAGTGTGAGTTTGCCCGGCGAGAGCTGGAGTACTTGGGCCATTACGTTACACCGCAACGCATTCGTCCGCTCGCGGACAAAGTACAAGCCATTCAAGATTGGCCGGACCTCGAGTGTACCACCGACGTCCGTTCCTTTCTCGGCTTAGCATCATATTACATGCCCTTCGTCAAAGGTTTTCAACGGATCGCTGCACCATTGTCGCGACTTCAGTCCCCCTTGGTGCCCTTCGAGTTCAACGACTAAGCCTGGCACGCGTTCCATACGCTGAAGACGACTTTGCTTCAAGCTCCCGTCCTAAGCATCTATGACCCGACCTTGCCTACCAAAGTAACTACGGATGCTTCCAGTTACGACATTGGCGAGGCTTTGGAACAGCATGACGACATTGACTGGCATCCGGTTGAGTACTTCAGCCAAAAGGTGTCGCCCATCAATTCTCTTGATGATGCGAGGAAGAAGGAACTGCTAGCTTTTGTCACCGTACTTAATCGTTGGCGTCACTTTCTCCTCGAGCGTCTGCGGTTCACCCAGTTCGACTTCACCTCCAAGCATATTCCGGGCCCCTCGAACAAGGCAGCGGACGCTCTCTCGCGAAGACCCGATCTTTGCGCCTTGGTGCACTCCACATTCGGCCTCGACGAGGACCTGCAACAACATTTTGTAAATGGCTACAAGTCGAATCCGGGATTCTCCACACTCTACGCGGACTTATTATCGGATCACCCGCCAGCAAGCAATTATCGCATTGTTGAGGACTACTTGCTTCTCCATACACGAGGCAAGGACTTGTTGTGTGTTGCCCAAGACCGCATCTTGCGCACTTGCCACCTTGGCGAATACCACGATTCGCGGTTGGCGGGACACCTTGACATCGCACGCACACTTGCACGACTCCGCCAGCGATTTCATCGCCCGGACATCATGAGCGACGTCAACCGGTACATTCAGTCATGCGCAGTTTGCCACCGGAACAAAGGGCGCCATCAGCTCCCGTACGGTGAACTGAAACCATTGCCGATTCCTCTGGAACCAGGTCTTTCCATTGCCATGGATGTGACCGGTCCTTTCCCTCACGATCGCCTTGGCCATGATGGTATTCTCACGGTCGTTGACCGTTTGAGCAAGTACGCTCGATTTCTTCCATGCAAGTATCATGCGACGGCTCCCGAGCTCGCATGACTTTTGCATACTGGCTGGTTTTGCAGCCACGGCGTTCCGGAAGACATCGCCAGCGACCGTAACACTTGTTTCATGTCAGCCTTTTGGACGACACTCATGGTGGAATCCGGCACCAGCATGAAACCGAGTTCGACACGACATCCTCAAACGGATGGGCAAACGGAATGTGCGCACCAGACTGCGCAGATGATGCTCCGCACATTCACCCGCCCGTATTAGAAGGACTGGGTTGACCACCTTCCCGACATCGAGTTCGCCTACAACACTTCGGTGCACCCGACGATCGGCGTGACTCCTTTTGAGTTGCACCACGGTGGACGAAAACGTCGTATCTTCGTAGACATTTTGCTTCCACGGGCTGCCGATATCAATGCCGCTTGCTCCCCCGCTTCTGCACGGAAGTACGGGGAACTGCTGGCCAAAGCCCGCACAAGTATGCAAAAGGCTCAAGTTCGTATGCAGCAGCAAGCAAATCAGCGTCGCATCCCATGTCCAATCCGCGTCGGCGACCTTGTTTGGGTCACCTCCGAGGAATTCGCGCTCGAGCAGCACGTCTCGCGCAAGCTCCTCCCTAAGTGGTTTGGTCCATGGAAGGTCACTTCAGTAGTTGGCGATGACCCCGCGGATGTTTAAATAAAGTCAATCAAATAAGAATTTTAAGAGAAATATTCTATTATATATACCTTATTTCTTAATTTTATTATTGATTAAATTAATCAATTATTTTGATCAATTAATTGATGAAAATTTTGCATTATTTGATATTATCTATAAACCCCTTTCATATCTCACGAGTTAATGTCAGCTTATCCATACTATTAGGTAATAATATATATAAATATGTATATAAATATAACTTTTAGGTTTAAAGACGAAGAAGGGCGTAGTAAGCGACGAAATGCYTCGGGGAGTCGAAAACAGGCGTAAATCCGGAGATTCCCGAATGGGGTAACCCCTTGATATAATAGAATATAAACAGGATATAATATAAAGTAAAAAATAATAAATAAAAAGTGATAGATACAATATATAATTAATTTCTAATTGACATATTTTAATCTATATTTTATATAGAATAGACAATAAATATACAATAGTAAAATATATCCCCCGGGTCCACCCAATATTTCATGCTTCAAAGCTGGCGGTCTATACTCCAGCCTCAACAGCAGATTCCCCGGGCAGACGGTCGCATGACCCTCCATCAATGGATGGTCACCAAGAGGTCGACCACGCCCTCACTCATCGCAAGCACGGCAACAAGCCAATGCAGTACAAAGTTACATTCAAGCAATGCGATCCCGGCGACACAAGCTGGATTTCACGAGCTGACCTGAAGGCGACAGCACCCCTTATCTTCGCGCATTACGAAAAAAGCGACTTGCTAAGGAAGCTGCCCAACCCGCCCGCTCCGTACGGACATCGGACAGACAGCTTTGCCCAGTTAGCTCGGTCTTCAAGAGGGGGAGTGTGTGGCATACTGATACCACACGGGCCCCAGTTAGGGCCCGGTTCGGTAGTAGGCACGGTTTAGGCCTAGGTACCGGGTCACGACGGTCCCAGCTAGGTCCAGGTAGGCCTAGGAACCGTCGGTTCAGTTTAGGGTCCGGTAGGCCTCGTTTAGACCCCACCAGACCCATACGGCTAGTTGTTTAGACCAGGTACCGGTCCATCGGTAGGCCCAGCCGGCGGCACAGTTTTGGGTGCCACTTTTCAGATTCAAATCAGATTTGAACAGTTGGGCCTGATCAACGATCCAGACCCGAAGGCACTCAGTAGGACTGAGGCCGACCCAGCACTATATCAGCTGGGTATCAGCCTCAGTCGGTAGATTAGTGGACAGGAGGTTAGTCTTCAGGATTAGCGCAGCGTTTCAGCGTTAGCAGGATTAGCGCAGCACTTCAGCATTAGCACGAGCAGCGAGGAGAGAAGGAGCTCAGTGGCAAAGAGGAACCAGTGCAACAGTGGGAGCAGCGCCAGCCCCGGCCCAGCCCGCGGCCCAGAGCCAGCCCTCGCAGCACCATAGCTATCGTAGCAGGTACCAGGGAGAAAGGCCTTGCCTTCTCTCCCTCTTCTTCCTCCACCGCTCTCTCCCCCTCTCTCTCCCTCTCTCTCCTCCTACCTTCGAAGTCTAAGTCTACTCTTGGGTTCTCCTACAAGACTACTACGAGTATGAAGGATGGTCACAAGTTCTGATGATATTGGAGACAGCGACATTGAGACTGCAGGTTGAGGACTACTCTTGGGATCTGATTTCATCTTCCTCCGAAGATGTACCTTGACATTGTGAAGATCGATATCTGAGACACTGTGAGACTCTGTGTTCGTGACATTTCGGATTTTCGCTACTTCTGACATTTCAAGATACTATCTTTGGAAACAATGAGTTGACGTCATCTTCCCTCTCCTCCTCCCTTCGTCTCCCATCCCTCCATTCATCCGTGTATGAGAATTGCCTATCTTTGGAAACAATGAGTTGACGTCATCTTCCCTCTCCTCCTCCCTTCATCTCCCCTCCCTCCATTCATCCGTGTATGAGAATTGCCCCGGCCTTTTCTTCTATGTCCAAGGCCAGGGCTTCACACCCCGATGTATGTTGGTGAGTGTT